ATTGAACTCACAACTCTAGTCAACGTCTTTATCCACTGGGCCATGTGTCCTTGATGCCATTTGTACTGAATTTTTGGGACTTATAAAACTAATGTCTCAGCCAGCTATTTTTACCAGTGCTCATATTGCAATTTTTCCGTTATTATTAATGCATAATTTTTACCAGAGCTCTCTATCTATTATTTCAACCTCATCCCACAGTGGGTGGTGGTCTTTATTTTTCCTCCATATATGGTCAGCTACGCTTGATTTTTCTATTTCCCCTTGTGTTACCGCTTTATGATGTTCTTGCAGTCTTACCTTAAGGGAGCGACTTGTTTCTTTATATTTCTTACCACAGCTGCACAGAAAATGGTATGGCACGTGGAACTAGAACAATCTACACCGGTGGATGAAATATAGGGTTCCGTGTGAAATTCCAACTACCTGAAGAAGGCCGGAGCGTACAACGGCCTAAACGTTGTCAATATGGCAATGAAGATGACGACAATAGTCCGAATAATGCAAATAATATAAATGAGCATTGTCCTGAAGCACAATCTTGTATCTGCTCAGTTTCGTATCCGAAACGTAAACAAAGCAATTTATAAAGAAGTAATGGATTTTTATTGATTAATCCGACAGAACGAAAATAAATATACTGTTTAAAATAAATGGAGCGTCTACTCAAGTATGCGTATCCACTAAAAAATAACGTTTCAACTGATATATATATATATATATATATATATATATATATATATATATATATATATATATATATATATATATATATATATATATATATATATTCCTAAAAGTATAATATTAGGGTGCATATCGGGCGGCATTTAAACTAACTTTGAGAGTCCCTAAGTGTTTGTATATTCTCAGCTTTGGAAGCTCTCCTGGCTGCCGTTTGATCTGGGTTTTCATTTGCACAGAACTTTCTTTTTCTCTTTCTTCAGCCTTGGCTCTTTTGATTGCAATCTGGTCTTCTGTTGGCAGAGATTTTCTTTTTGTGAGGCAAACTGCTGCCGTATACGATAGTCAATAATAAAGTACAGAAGAACTTAAAATTAATCGCTGCATTTAAGTATTGCATTAATATTTAAGCTTAGCTCAACGATAATTCTTCTGCCAACACTTAATTTAAAGCTAAGTTGATGTACGTGGCTCCTTACTTATCCATACAAACTTTTATTTTTATTTCATGGATGACTTTTTCTGAATTTCGCAATTATTTTCAATTATTCCCAAATTTATTTCTAAGTTATAAAAAATGTTATCGTAGAAAAAAAAAAAAAATTCGTCACAAAAAATCACATAAAAAATCGCCGAAAACAATCGCAATAATGAAAACTTGGGAATCCAAAATATCAGGATTGCGGGTCCGGATTTAGCTCAGAAGGCTTTTAATTTGCTCAAAGAGTCGGCCTGATTAAAAAAAAAATGATATGACATGTTTGTCTCTAGGTTGTCTCTAGGAGTAAAGTTGAAAATATATGACAAACCTACATTCGCACACACACACACACACACACACACACACACACACACACACACACACATATATATATATATATATATATATATATATATATATTATATATATATATATATATATATTCGTATTTATCTAGAAATCAGAATGCGACTGAGATAGATGAAGATTTATATTACATTTATATGAAGTTATTTTAGTATCTTCAAATCTATTGATGAATTGGCAAACATCATGAAATAGTGTGCATTCCAGTTAGTAATAATGTACACACCTTAAGCAATTATAGTCATGAATATAAATGAATTCGAACAAAGAACAAAACGTGAACACGTCCAAAAGCTTTGATATACGCAATTTTTTTTTCTTGGGACCTAGGCAACCTTTCGACCAACGCCTCTTCAGGTAAAGATTGTTGGCAAAGCTGAAATAATCAAAATTAGACTGTAAATATGCGGAAAAATTCTTGGAGATAAGGCTGGAACACGTTTAAAACAGGTTTACGATTAAAATAAATACGTAAACTTAAGAGAATAAGAAAATCAACCAGCCAGAGAATAAAACAAGTAAAGAATCGTTCACTAACAACCAAATAAGACCGCAAAAAATTATCCTTTTGTCTGATAAACTTAATATAGGTGGTTGCTTCAATTTAAGACAAATGACCTCCAGAACTAACAAATAGTGTTTGGACTTGCCTATATGCAAATTAGAGAATGAATCTCGTGAAAGAAGACGGGCACATTTTCTTCTCCAATAGGTGCTGTCCGATTGCCGAGTCGTGTACAGACTACGACGCACGAGTACTTGAATGTAATCTGATATATTTAGGAACGTGTTGGTCCATTCTTGTTTCCAATCTAAGACTAGACCGTCCTAAATACTCAGCTTAAACTTATTTGGAAAGAAGGTTCACGTATAATATGTAGATTTAAGAAACAGTTTAATAAAATATGAGAGACGACAAAAAAATAATTTCTCCATTGCAGTACACTTCAACCAACCATTTCATAACGCTGATGACATTAGATGCGTGCTTTTAGCGTATTCATTCAACTGCCGTAAGAAAACGCGTAGATCGGAGTTGAAATTTATTTTCAAAATAAGGGAGGGATTAAACAAGAATTTAGGTTTACGCAGAGAGTATAATTTCCACAGACAGTCCTCCAAACAACAACATTCCTCGAAAGCGTAAGTTGAAAAAGAACATAGGTGTATTCGATAATACCGACTTTAAAAAAAAATCACTTCGTGCTTCATTTCAGTCAAAACTTTAATATATATATATATATATATATATATATATTGTGTATATTTAGGCCGCCATTTTTCATTGATGCATGTTTCATTAAATAATATAGACAAGTTGTGTCTATTTATTTTAAGTAAGTTCCTTTCATATTGTCTGATAAGCTTAATAACATTATCATTGAAAGACGAAAGGAAATCGCCATATTGATACTTATGTTTAAATCTGATCTATGCTTTCGGCTTACATAAGCCATTATCAAAGATGACAATTACATTTCAATATATCAAACAATACTAGGACGAAACAATAATGATAGTCTGTTTTTGTTGCATGAAAAATTTCAAAGCAACGACAAACTCGTGTATACGAGACGCGGAAGCGAAAATCACACCGCAGCTCGTGATGTCACACATGACCACGCTTATCAGACAATATGAAAGGAACTTACTTAAAATAGACACAACTTGTCTATATTATTTAATGAAACATGCATCAATATATATATATATATATATATATATATATATATATATATATATATATATATATATATATATTGATATTGATATTCAATTTAACATATTTTCTGTTTATATGTTATTTTATAGTATAAATATTTACGTAAATGCTCAGTTTATAATGAAAAGTATTAACTACATTTACTGGCCTGAATATCCGAGAAATTTCATAGAAAATAAGAGACCTTCTATAAGAATCGAACCTGTATCCTATACGGAACCGTCATATAGCCTGACTTGCTATACCATTTAGCGTCTGGTTATCAAAGCGTCCGGTTATCAAAGTCAAATGACTGTTTTTAAACAACAAATTTCCCATGATTTTCTCGAACGATCATATCTGCTCGAAGGATATCTTAAACAAACAAATGACATCATATATAATGAAATGAACTAAAACCGACAAGTATTTTCTGTTTATACGTTATTTTATAGATACAAATATTTAAGCAAATGCTCAGTTTATAATAAACAGTATAAACTGAGAATTGACATAAATATAATACGACGTATGGTCAAATACGAACGTTTCAGAGTGTTTGGGTATCAATCTGAGGAAAGTGCCAAGGATTCGGAAAGAGTTGGTAGAGTCTAATGGTGATTACAATGATGTATGAAGTGATCACTAGTGATGGCGACGTTATGCTTCCATTCATCTTCCCACAGAGTCTCAGACACAACACGAAGACCTAAATCAAGTGCCTTGAGGAGGTAGTGTTACTCTGGATCAAGAGGGTGGCTGAGGGAAGACCCTATCTATGGCACCATGCCACACAAGCAGGAGAATCCAGTCATATGGCTGTCAGAGAATTTCTGCGACCACATCACCCCTTACGTCTGGCCACCTAGCTCTCCAGACTCCTTGATTATTATGTGGGAGGCGCAGTTGAGCGAGAGACCAACAAAACTCCTTGTAATAGCAAAGATGAACTGAAGCCAAGGATTATGGCAACATTCACCCACTTAAACAAGGAGAGCGTCCAGAAGAGTTACAGGAGATTAGGCCGTGGTTGAAGTCAATGGTGATTTTATTGAATAAATTTACCCTTTTGTAATTTAAGATGTATTTATGCAAGTTTGGGAAATATAACTGTTAAAATGAAATGTCAGTGTTATTTTCACTTTTATGTAATTTAGACGACAATTTATCCATCACACCCTGTTTATTATTGATTATATATATATATATATATATATATATATATATATATATATATATATATATATATTAATAAAATCTAATAAATTAAATTTGATTTAAAACTCAGAAATCAGCAAACTTAAGTAGTCACCGCTACTTTTATTACTACTATCTATTGTTGAGCGCGCACACACACACACACACACACACATATATATATATATATATATATATGTGTGTGTGTGTGTGTGTGTATGTGTGTAAGACCCTTTCTGCACAAACAAATATATAATTGTATTATTGACTTTGTGTTACTTTGTTACATAATTTATTTCTTTGTTTTTGCATCTTTTATAAACTCTTGCATGCAGGCGCATAAATACATACATATCTGCATATACCTTACACTTACTTATGCACCTATACATATTCTCAATATATATATATATATATATACATGCATACATACATATATATATATATATATATGTATGTATGTATGTATGTATGTATATATATATATATATATATACATATATATATATATATATATATATATATATATATATATATATATATATATATATATTACGTACAATCACGCATATGCACGTTATCTCCTTTTTAGAACTTCCAGCAATATATTCAAATCCTTTCCAAACTCACGCCTCACTCATATGTATGTATGATATATGTATATATGAGAATCCACAAAGTCCGCATTTCAAACGCAATGCACTGAGATTTATCAATCTCACAGTGAGAATGACAACCATTCTAACGTCTGTTTATTTTTCCCGCGCTTTGTGTAAAGATCTTCCCTCGCTTTATCTTTTGTGACTCCTTTTTGCGGCCCTAAGTCTTTGTATAACAACAGAATGTTTGATGTTTAGACATTTTCCTTCACTACACTAACTGATCATCCGGGTGTTTTGTGTTATAGCAAATACTGACCCCCCATCGTGAAAAATGGATGCTTTGGGTACCCATTGGTCGGGTGCAACAGGGACTGGCAGGGTGGTAACGATATTTGTAAATTATAAAGTCATCTAACAAGGCAACTCTACCTAGATACATGACCACGCATATATAGATGTATGGTTTCGGTTGTCCATTACAATAATTGCCTCTAATTTTAGCATGGCCACACTTACTTACAAATGAATTATTACATATTTCGCTTCTTGTTTTTTACAAATAAGTTATAATATTTATTTTTATTACCTTCAGTTTAATGGGTGTTGACAAAACGTTTGAGACTTCGGTCATTCCCTGGTCCCGCCAATTCAAACCTTCCCGTCAAGGACATGCCATGCCACTTACATTGTAGCAAAGCATACATATTTCGTTGGTGGGAAATAAGTTCTACTTGAACAGCTTCTTCCTACGAACCACTACTCTGTGGAACCGACTCCCAACAGGATGTTTCCTGATTTAAACCCCATTGATCATGTATGAAGCATGTTTCCTTGCAGCCACACTCAATAAATACAACTCAGTTATGGACAACCCGAGATAGACCTAGATAGGTATATCTATGTAGTTATTCCATTTTATGGTTTATTTTGTTTTACGGCATATCAACCTCAATAGCTTATTTAATGCCGACAAGACTTTTAGAATAGATTCGTATGAATAGAATAGATATTCTTTATAAGAAATCAGTTTGCAGATCAGCTTTCATTAAGGTATGTTTATAAAGAGAGTTTTTTTGTCGAGAGTCAAATATATTGCTGGTATATTTTTTTAAATGTATTGCTGGTATTTTTGTCAAGAGTCAAATTTATTGCCTGTAATATATTTTTAAATATATTGGTGGTAATATTTTTTCAAAAAGTTATTGCTGCTATGAAAATATATTTTTATACTTTCATAGTGTTTTGATACCAGTTTTGGCGTTGACTATTTGCCCGTAGCTGGGACCTTAACAAGTGCTACCACCCTTAATCCAGTACATTATTCATATTGTATCACGTAACCGTCGTTATACTGAAGAAAGTATACCTTATAGGACATAATGCGCGAATTAACCAAAGTCCAGTTCCAGGCTGTACCCTCCCCTCTTTTCACTTAAAAGGAAATGGTCAAGATCAATATCTGAGGCGTTCAAGAAAAATGGAAATATACCGAAGGAACCGTACAATTACCTTTCGAATTTTAATTTCGACCTTGTGTCAAACTTAACATCGGTGAGAGAGATTAGATTAATCTTGCTTCTCATGTTGAATCAAAAAATCAGTGATCATCTCTATTTCAATTCTTTATTTAAAAGAAATGAATTTAATTATATCTGGTGATAAAATAAAGAATAAGAATATTTAATTTCTCCTGAGGTGTATTCTTAATCTCCATTACGCTCTTCTTATTTACAAACTGAAACCAATTTTTCTTGGTGTATTGGCCTTTGATTAACGGTAACATTCTAAACAATATTTCTTTTTTACACCCAGAATGTCTTTTTTTAGTGGGGTAATCCAATAACACACACTGTGCAAGGGTTGCATTTTATGGTGGGTTATTCAGAAATTTCACAATTCTTTTGATTATGACCGCAGACATCAAGGTTGACGTTCTTGATGCAATAAGAAGGAGCTATCTGAGAGATGAGTACACGGGCACCAAATTTCAATCATTTAAATCGCTTAATCAAGATAAATACTCCTAATTTAATTACGTAATAATGAATCTACGTTTTTTGCTCTTTATTTTTATGAAACACATGAAGTGTATGTAAACTGTATCAAATCAAATCCAAGCATAATTTAGGAGAATATAACAAATTCTTCTGAGGTGACACATTTACATGGACAGTCACAAAGGCTATAAATAGCTACAACTATTACCTGTGAGTCAGTAACACTACAATGGCGTCACCAATATCTAAAAAATCGAATGAACACTTGATAATTATGAATACGCACAAGCGTCGTTTAGGTTACTAGCAGCTAAAGCTAGAAGAGAAAAGGTGAAGGGTTTAAAATCAGTTGGGGGACAAAACCAAATAACTGATCCCATCTTGGAAACAGCTGGTTGTGAGGCCATCATAAAATTATCAGCAATAGTACACACAAGACAGTTGGAGGAAGTAACGCTTGACAATATAAGTCAACTAATAGTGAAAATCATAACACACAAGAAAAAAACAAACAAACTAGTAAATGAAGAGAGAGCTAAGTTATGAATATTTTTCAAAAAGTGAATGAACCAGTCATCGAATATGTTCTTCGTTTAAAACAGACCGCTAAATATTGTGAATTTGAGAAACTGCGATCAGAACATTAGTCAATCGAAGAGGATTTGATCCAAATGAAATTGGCAAAATGCGTTCAAAATGAGGAGTATCGGCAAATGACTCTAATGCATTTACAACTGTGAAGGTTGTCACTAGAACAGTGTGTTGAATTTGTTCAGCAACAAGAATTAGTTATAAAAATTTAATAAAACAAAAGTTACGGATCTGGTGGAGAAATGGATACATACGCGATAAAGAAAAAAGATAAAATAAGGCATACCTTTTTAGGATATTAATACCAAAGAGAAAAACAAAAATGTCTGGTGCATAAAAAAATGTGAAAATTGTTTCGAAATGAATCCTTTTAAACGTATGTGTAAATTCAAAAAGAAAAACTTAGAGACGATTCAACAAAATAAAGAGGAACTAAATTTGGGTGTGTTTTCCTAAAAAAATGAAAAAAGGGTTATTAAAAACCCGAATCGATAATGTTTTATTGGACATGCAACTACATACGGGAAGGCTATTTTGAAGCCTTGGTGGAACTAAAAAATAAGACGTATTAACGTGGAAAACTATGAAAAGAATCACGGTCTAATAGCAAATGATATATTGAACATAAATTCGACAAAATTTGTAAAGAAAGTCAAGGCAGAAGAAGCAGAAATGCTAAAAACTATGAAGCAGTTATGACTAAAGGAAAACGTATCCCCATCATATTTTGAAGCATGAAAAATGCCAGTTCATCTACTATGAGTAGTTGTGGAAAAACTAAAAAAAAACTGCAGGATCTACTTGAACGAGTTCCACCAGGAGGGAGCAAATGAACCTTCTCGTTAGTAATTTTAAGAAAGGGAATCTGCATATTTGTGGCGAGTACAAAATATGTGTAAACCACAAAATATGTGCAGACTCATATCCTTATCCCCAATGTAGAATCGGCTTGCAGGCATGAAAACATTCTCTAAAATTGATCTAAAGTTGACATACCATCAAATACCTATTGATGAAAACTGATATTGACGAAGTCACAACAATAAACACGTTAATGATCTTATTAAGATGGCAAAGAATGTCGCATGAAATTAAAAACCACAAGTGCGATTTTTCAAAGGACTATTGCGTAAGTTATTGGTAGCAATGTAAAAATATAATATGCTACCAGGATGACATTTATGTTGGTACTATTAACGACGAAGAATTAAAATGGAAAACCGGTATCGTTTTGAATAAGTTTAAAAATGCTAGATTAAAATTAACGAAAAAGAATGTGTGCGCAACACTAAAAACATATAATTTTTGGGATATTCCATATCTAACGAAGGCATATCATCAAGCCAATCATTAATTGACAAAATATTTGAAGTACTTAAGCACAAAAAAGAACAAAAAAAGAAATAAAAGAAAAAAGAATTGGAATCTTTTTATGACTTGTAAATTTCTACAGACGATATGTAGAGCAATACTCCGAATTGACAGGACCTTTTGCCGCTTTATGAAAAAAGAATGTGGAATTTATTCAGACAAAAGTACAACAAGTGTCATTTGAAAATTTAAAAGCTGTCCTGGCAAAGAAGCCAGTAGTAAAAATATTCGACTCTAGAAAGGAAATAGTAGTAACAACTAACGCAAGTTAACACTTAATTTCGGGAATATTAGCACAGGATGGTCATCCTATGATGTATATTTCAAGAAAAGTGTCAAAAGCCGAATTGAACTACTCAAACATAATAATGGCCGTAATATGGACTATAAATAGAGCTTGTCAGATTTGACTGGAAAGAAATTCCTATTAGGGTCTGACCATAGACCTTTAGAATTCATGTTCCTAATCCTAGGAAGGAACTTCCCAAGGTAATGTCTTCTAGAATTCTAAAACGGGCCTTAATGTTAATGGCGTTTGACTGTGATATTGAGTACGTGAAAGGTAATACCATTGCGTATGTAGACGCTTTGTTGAGATTGGGGTTCATTAAATCTGAAAGTGAGAAAGAGGAGGAAAAATTCGAAGATACTTTCTTACACTGAGTTGAAACTGATATTTTATTGAGAGACAAATTAGTAGAGGATACGAAGTGATATCCCATATTGAACAGTACATAAAATAACAATTGGAAATAATTGCTCATGAACAGAAAGGCGTTTTAAAGCGGTTAAACACAAATTAACTGTAAAAAAGTGTGTAGTTTGTAATGGAGACGTAGTGGTTCTGCCAGCAATGCAAAGGTGCAAAATTATAAAAAGTGTACATGACAGTGTTTATTGCTGAATAAAGTCTAAACAAAGGAGATTAAGGCGAGAAGCATGGTGGCCAGGCTATTCTACAGATGTAGAAGAATACATAACAAAGTGTAAAATGTACAATGACAGGAGAAAATTTAGACAGACAAAAATACATATATGGATGAAAGAGTTCCAACCTTGGGACAAAACCCACATGGATCATTCCCAGGTTATTGGAATGGGATTATTACTAATACTGTTATTACTGATACAGATCTCCAACAAAAGAAGCTCGACCATGAAACAAGCGTTAAAGATCATCTTTTTAAGAAATAGAGTTCTGAAAAAGCTAGTATCTGACAACGTCCCAGAGTTTTGTGACGAGGAACTATGCCGATGGTTGAAGAAAATTGGATGCAAACCTTATAAAACCCCACTATACCATATAAACAGATTAGCAGAAAGGATGGTAAAACAATAAAAAACGGGTTGAAAATATGTGTACAAAGGAAAGAAAAAATAGAAACATTTCTTCCTAGATTATTGCTAAGTTATAGGACAATACCACGTGCTGGAAGATCGAAAAATTTGTTCACCTTCATGGACAGACAAATGAGAGCTCCGTTGACTATGTCCTATGCCATCAACAAAAAATATGGTATAAAAAGAATAGTGAATCTAATCTACAAGAGACAAAATTCATAATGCAAAATGGGCAGACACTGAAAATGGGAGTAATGTCGACTCTGAAGATGACAATCATTAGAGGAACACTCCTAAGAAAAAAGAAGATCAAGATGTCCTACACAATCTCTTAGGGAGGAAGATAGTAAGGAGGCAAAAGCTCCCAGAAGAGATACCAGAGAAAATAAAGGGATAAAACCTCTTCGGTACAGGGAGATGATGTGACTCATTTACATATCCAGTCACATAGACTACAAATAACTACAGATATTATCCATGAGGCAGTTGAGTGCATACTATTTCCTGTGTGTCAGTCACACCTACTAATCCTATAAATGTGAAATATGCAATATTAATCCAAGCGTTAAAAATCATTTTCCATTAACTTGCATTAAATGTTTTTGTAATTACTTCTTTGTAATAAATAATGATCAACAGTTGAAATGATAAATAAAAAGTAATTTGAATTCGTATCTGCGAATGAAAATCCCAGCTAAAAGTCAGCAGAAAGAACATTGATTTCCTTAAACTTAAGAAAATCGCCCAGATATTTCAGAAACCTTTCCTTTATATTAATTGTTGATTATCTGTCCAATGGTATTCCCCAATGTAGACAAAAGAAGTCTATGAATGCTGACGCATTAATATTTATTTTGTAAATTGTATATAGTTAACATTTTAAAGTTGCAACTCTCTTCAAGAACTAGTACAAAAACTAACAAAATGCAATAGTTTTTACCATAAAATCTCTTTTAATAGAACTGCACGAAGAATTAAATCATTATGTCCAGTTCATTTGCCTGGACTATGAATTAAAAATGTCGATATGAGTTTGGACTGATGGGTATTTATCAGACGACAATCTTAAAATAAAAGAATGATTACGTCCCTTGAATGCCGTTGATGTAATCTTTTAGATGGGCTTGTGACATTCCGCCTTGTTCGATAAGTTTTATTTTTTAGGATTTTATGTTACGTTGCAGGCTTTTAGTAATTTTAATAGTAATATTAGTCTTCGGAAAAGAAAGCAGAAAAATAGAAGATAAAACACAACAAAACAAAACTAAAAGACTGTTGTTTGTAAATGGATCTACTTTATCTAATAAGTGAACTGGTTATTTTATGATTTGCTTGTTGTTTGCATAAAACTTTATTAAGCCGGTCCTTCAAGAGCTGCGTCATTACTTGCCTACTTTAGGCATATTCGTTGAATAGTAGATGGTTTCATATCTATATGTTTCTGCCTAACTGAACCCATTAATATCTATCTATCTATCTATCTATCTATCTATCTATCTATCTATCTATCTATCTGTTCACGTCTATTGTCAATATATATATATTGTCAATAAGGATCTGAATCAAAATTGTATGAAGTGGACACATCTAATACCACGTCAATAAATATTGCAGTGTGAATACACACACACACACACACACACACACACACACACACACACACACACACACACACACACACACACACACACGTGTTTGTGTTTATACGTGTAAAAATTCAGATATAAATAGAACAATTTAGAAAAGACAATATGAATAAAGATAAAATAAAAAAACTTTTCTTCACCAACACGTTTCGTTCCCGAAAGACATTATCAAGGAGATGTTTGAAAAAAGACTGTTTTTTTTAATATCTCCGTTCTTAAAGGAAATATTCCTTTCCCAATCCAACATACATGGTCATAAAAAAGAAAAAAAAACGGTTAACTTCTATTGATAAAAATAAATACATAAATAATTTATCAAATTAAAATAAAATGATAAATAATAATTTCATTAATAAATAACGAAATAAATATATCTAAATAAATAAGAAAATAAATTTAACATCAATAATAACAACATTTCCTCACTTTCGTTTATTAATAATTAAATTACATCACTTAGCGTCATCCATAGTTAAGTTTACCTTGACTTATACACTAAGAATATTTTAAAGAGTTCTTAAATTTAAAATTCTGAAAACTGATTTAAAATTCTGAAAACTGAACAGTATTTTTCCTTCACTTTACTTCTGGTTATAATTACATGTTGCAAATTCTTACATTTACCTTGATAAAGTCTTTCAGTTTACGCGTTGGTAAAGAAAAGTTTTCCATTTGCTTATATATATATATATATATATATATATATATATATATATATACATTCTTTGGACAAAGAGAGAAATGCGCAAAAGATATCTGTTCATATCTCACTATCCTTCCCTCTATATGATTATTCTATCTTTCTTTCTATCTATCAGCAGGCATCGAGAATCGTGTTATATTCTCAACGTTACTCCGTTTCCGGATCAGTCGGAGAGCACATCTTGCAACACACGGGTCCATCGATACTAACATGACATGTGACCTTTTGCATCTGGCAGACTTACCGGAAGTGACCTGGTGCTGTTTTTTATCCTTTGGTGTGCAGTAGAATTGCGTCTTATGCAAAGAGTACGCTCATCACTTCCGGGTATGTGTACACTTTTGGTGTACGTAAAACGCACACACACAAAGAAATGTGCGGTGAGAAAAAAATCTAATAATGAAAAAGAAAAATTACAAACGTGAAATAACACGCGAGCAAGGAGGAGAAAGAAAGGAAAGAGACTGCGATATCTACATAGCTTCATTTTTTTTTTTTACTGAATCTCTGCGTTTGTAAGTTATTTGTTCTTGAACTAAGTTGTCTTCTCCAAATATTTTCTTAGCTCAATGCTAACATATAATATTACTTGACGTGCATAATATATATATATGTATATATATATATATATATATATATATATATATATATATATACATGTGTGTGTATGTAGATTTAATGTCCAAGTTAGTAAAATTTGAGAATAAAAAGCAAACAAAATGATAAAAATATCGGCAATAAGATTGATATCTTTCGTTTTAATCATATATATATATATATATATATATATATATATATATATATATATATATATATATATATAAGTTAGTTTAGATAATCTGTTTATACAAATACCTCTTTCTCTCTCTCTCTCTCTCTCTCTCTCTCTCTCTCTCTCTCTCTATATATATATATATATATATGCGTGTTAGTAGGAGAGAGTATCTGAACAATAGTGAGAAATGCGACAAATCTTTTCGTCTTTGTCTCATTTCTCTGCTGTACATAATATATATATATATATATATATATATATAATTATGCTGTACATAATATATATATGTACATAAAAATTATGCAAAGGCTTTAATAAGTATAATATATATATACACAATTTGTACACGCATACACACATTATGTCTACAGTAAACGAAACAATTTGTAATTGCAAAAATACGAATAAAATACATTTAAATATATGCATGCAAAATTAGACTACACTTCCATAATTATATATATATATATTTATATATATATATATATATATGCAGGACTCGGTTTGCGGCAGGGACTTGGAAAGCAGAGTAGACAATATGTCCGGCTGTTAACCGACTTATTTACAAGTTATGTTGCATATTTTTGCTACATTTTCGATATTATTTTGTTGGTATTGACTTGATATGATAGGGAATAAAAAGGTTAATATTTTGATGTAACCTCACTTTGCGTTACATAAATCTATATACCAGTCAAAGTAGTTTATGCAATATTTCAAGCAAAATCCAGTGTATACATACAAATTTATATATATACATACATACATACATACACACACACACACACACACACACACACACACACACACACATATATATATATATATATATATGTGTGTGTGTGTATCTGTGTGTGTGTGTGTGTGTGTTTGTTTGTGTGATAGGATGAGTAACAAATAAAAAATGTATACAAATGTTTTACTTTTTTTTATTTAAACATCATCAGAAATGTTATACTTTTTATTTAAGCTATTAAATAAAATATGAAAGAGAAAATAAAATTCTGACATTTTTTATTTTCGTCTTGGTTGTTTTCATTGGTTAAGTAGATCTCACGCATTCTGAAAGAATTCGAACACCCGTGTCTAATCACGCCACATCACCCGTATTGTTGTAAGTGGATCATTTTGGGTAACGAATTCCTCTCTGTAGTATTCAATGATGAGGGCTGGTCCTGTATTTATGCAAATGACAGGTGAAGTGATTTTTCTAGCGTGTATTTGCCCACGACACACAGGATGATCGTAGTGTAATAAGTTATAGCACTTGCTCACCATTGGCGTTTGTGAAGAAAATGTTGAACAGTACCGAGTACATCCAGAACATTATTCAACCCGTTCCGTTGGCTTTCCTGCCACAGGAAGCCAATGGCAATGTGCTGTTTCAGCAGGATAATGTCCGCCCACAGGCTGCCCGCGCTACTCCACTTTCTTAGCCAAATGTTCGACAGTTTTCTGACCGACACCGACACCATCACCAGACCTTTCCTCTATGGAATATATATATATATATATATATATATATATATATATATATATATATAATGTGTAAAAAAGCATTCATAAAAAGAGATTCATGAGAGAGAGAGAGAGAGAGAGAGAGAGAGAGAGAGAGAAAATGGAGAGAAAGTGCCAAAGAAAGTGAGAGTAAAAAATTCAATCCATGTGCACACTGTTGTTACATTCACACTCATGCTGAAAAGTTCTCGACTCGACCAAGAAGGGATTCCTACCTGGTCCTGATGTTTGGTTATTTGCCCAAATTTAAGTAAGTGCGTAGTGTCAAGAAATTTATACCAGTCCTCGTACAATGATATCACACACACACACACACACACACACACACACACACACACACACACACACACACACACACACGAATATATATGAGTATGTTGATCTTTTTTTTTTGTATTTGTTCGGGAATGTACGCATAATCGCGGGCGTATATATTTGCAAGAACATATAAGCTGACACTTAGTGAACTACGGAAGAACTTTTCATGAAAATGACGTCTTTGACAAGACCTTTAAATTTCAAAACTTTTGAAATGTTCTTATCGTACGGGAAATTCAATAAAAAAAACTCCATAGCAAAAAAACAAACAAACAAAAAAAAAACTGCAGACTTGGCAATTTTCTTAGTTCTTGACACTGTTATGAACATTACAGTTTGATTTATATTTAACATTTAATTTAGAAGCATGAAGAATAGATGACCTGGTCAATCTTGAATATTCGTACAGTTGAATAGAAAAAATATTTTTTGTGCTTGTATCTACAAATATATTTGTTCGTTGGGATTTTACAAGTACAAACATTTGAAAAATAGTTATGGAAACGAAAGGATATCGCGATTTTCACAAGCTTGTTAACCATTACACCACATTGAGGTGCCCAGAAACGAATGATATGATCTATGTGCACATTCAAGGAAAATTTTATAGCATTATTTGTTACAGAATGGACACTCTTAACATGAGCGCTAACTGTCCAACTAAAATAGGGGCGAGAGGTGACCAATGGGTTGATGTTTACGAGCGGGTTTACTCCCTTTTAGTAGAGGCAAAATGGGGAACTTTTAGTAAACAGTATAAGATATTGTAAAGTTTTTTGTTTTATTGTATTATTTCTGAGTACATTATGTACACAGCATTTAAATGTAGAGATCCATACATAAATTATATGGTTTTAGTACTGATTGCAAAAATGATGAACAAATTGAAATGTAGTCTATATCTCCTATCTGGCCTTTCCTCTTGTCTGATTACTTTATAACAGCTACCATTAATAATATTGTTTCTCTTGGGTTTATCTAAAGTCTTGTATTTATAGTAATTTTTTACTTCAGTTCTGATGCATAAAAATGATTTCCTCTGAATTAGTGAAGAGTCTCAAAACAAATTTATTAAACTGATAGGATGACAAATTATTTATTTATTATTTTTTTTAATCAGAGGCGCTTTGTTTCAATTCAATACAGTTGTGATTTTATCTCTCATCGGCGACCTCGGTCGGATCAAATTATTGGATAGCACTAACTTTCGGTTGCTAATTAGATCAGGGGTCGCAACTCCTACTGAAATCATGTGGTTTTCAGGTTGTTATAGAAGAGGTGCCTAACAAAAAAAAAAAAAAAAAAAGAAAGAAAAAAAAATGATCACGTGCACAGCCACAGGATTCATCATACCATTATAATGATAAATGCCACACAAGCTGATGCATTCATACACGATATATATGCAGGTTTATTTATCGACATTAGACTCCTCTAGACCTGTTGTGTTTATTCTTTTGTCCATGTTATATTAATGGGGGAATATTGAGAAGGGTGTGGCTTTTCACCACGCAGGAGTGGTCTTCACTATGAAGAGGCTATTGCAAGTATGCAATTATAAAATATGC